TGGAAAGTCGCCAGTTAGTTCCCTGGACTTGGTGGGGCAGGGTAACTCTGGGCGGAGAAAGTGCATGATCAGGACTTGCCGTAGCTACCACCGCTCAGATGCTCTTGAGCAAGGCCCTTAACCCCCAAGTGCTCCAGTGGGGCTTCTTGGTGACCAACAAATCGACGGTGTAACGGTGCGGGTGAACAGGTCGTTCCTGAAAGAAGAGAAGAAGGGAACTTTTTTTTTTTTTTTTAAAGTGTGAAAAAGTAAGACACATATTAAAATGTAACAGTGGAAACTATATGGTATACATTCAGCACAGCTGCAGACTTCATGGACGCCTAGTTGTTTTCATTTATACTTCGCTTGTAGTCCGTGTTCCATACATGTGCAGCAGATAGTTGAATAGGTTTTTTGTGCATGAATAAAATCAAAAAGGCGACATCCACGCAAGAAGAAGAGCTGCTGTACTTATTCTTTTAAAGGTGAATTGCAGAGGTGAGGGTAGCGGCGGACAACTCACACGGCCTCTCTTCAAACTCAGCGTCCATGTTTGTTTTTCCAGTCGGTAGCCTACGCACCCTGATGATGGAGCTTACGTCACGCTGACCCTTGCGTACTTGCGGATGGTATAAAAAGTAATGTATGGGGGAGAGTATAACATCGCCTTAACGCTGGCGTCAAGAGGAGATGAGGAGGTGATTCAAAACATATGAAAGTGGAAGGAGTGAGGAGAAGGATGAGAACCAGATCAGATGGTTGTGAGACTTGGCTGTCTCAGGGAGGAACGCACAAAAGATCAAAAGAAGAAAAACAAATTATTGATTTCCAAAAACAAGAGGCCGAACATGCACGCTCACAGAGTCTGTACACACAGCACAGCGGCCGGTTAATGAGGTCAGGGAAAAACCAGCAATAAAAACAATCAGAGCTGTTATGACCATGAGTTCATTCCAGTCCGTCTGTCCTCTGAAGAGCCATCAAAGAGCTTTTCATCTTAGTCTTCAGTGTTGCCCCATCCGGGCCATTACCGTACCAACAAAACACGCACACGCCAAGGCAGAGGGATAAATTAAGTGCGATGCTGCAGGATGAAAACACCGCCCTCCCTCTTCCTCTGCTCTGTCCTCCCCATCTACCAGTTTCCTCTTGCTGACACATTTCGTCCCTCTCACGTTCACTCCTGGCACACGCACAAGAGCTCATTAATCCTCCCACACACACTCTGCCCAGTCGCTCTTGTCACGATGCTGAAATTAAGAGGCGACGGTTTGCAGCGGTGTTTCCAGTAGAAATATTTCATCCCTTCTGTGTACACTGCTCGTCTCCAAAACATGTTAGAAATGAAGTTCCTGCATATTTTACATGATTCATTTCAATATTTGATGCCCAACGGACTCTTCACTCAATTCGAACATGGTGTGTAGCATGTACTTAATATTTATGGGAAAAAAAAGTTGCCTTGGAGACTTTTGAATACAGACTTTTGGAATCGTTTTACAACGGGCTTTTCTTTAACTCTTTGGATTCGTACAATTACTACAAATGGAGCACAGTGTTCTCCACTGTTTCACATCTTTGGTGTTTGGGCGCAAATTAAGTGCACATGCAAAACGTCATGGTGTACTATTACAAAATATTTTTATATAATCATGCAGAGAGGCAGCAGGTACGATCAGGTAGTTGAACTGGAACAGATGATGTGCTTATGGCATCACATTTGAATTCGACTTACGATGAATGTAAAACGCAAGTAAAGTTTACGTGTCTTCATGGTTTGTATTAAGTTTCAGAACACGTTCATCATTATGTTCCCACTGGAGAGTGGCACCATGATGAAACGTTTCTTTCAGCAAAATTTTCGGTCTGACATATTTTTATCTGCCATGTTCCCTTGATTAGAAACCAAGACCAACCGCCCTCCGATGTAGAATTATATCCTTTATGTGGGACCCATTCTCAGTTTCACCCAGATTTAGCCCTGCTCAGGAGGCGCTCTCAGTCATCTAAGTGTAGCCTGGCTCAGATTTGGTCTGTATATACCCAAAGCCCAGCATATCATTACAGCTGAAAGAACACGGGGACAGTGGCTGACCAGTAATTTGGCTTTGCTGAATGTTGTCACTCGTCATTCCAAAGTTTCTTCCCATCCCGACAGTCTGGACCTTGTTGACAAAGTTGACAAAATTTTGACCAAAATTCCACACTAATCGCTGTTTTCACCATTTACTGTCGCTCATCAGACAAGATACTTTGATCTGGAATACAAGTAAACACGGAAATGATGTGTTTAATTTATCGCAATAAACACTTATGGCTGCCAACAATGGATGGTTTTAATCAGTAAGCCCAAAGTTTTGTTTTGTTTTTTTACTTAAATTGCCTGAATAAAGTCTAAATTCTTAAGACCAAATACTTTAGTAAAGCATAATAGATTTGTTATGCAATATCTGAAATATAGATATATGCCACAAGGCAGAAAAAGGGGACATTTTAAATTGTATCAGCATTTGTTTTTTTAAACAGACCACAGATAATCTGCAAAAACTACAACTTTAAAACTGTGTGTTTGGGACTGAGTTTAAATGTTAGAATAAATAAGAGTTCTCTTTTGCACAGTCCAGGAAGATGGTGCACCCCTGAAGTTCAGAAGGGGATTAGAGTATTTACTTTACTGTGTAGGTCTCCCTGACAGAACAGAAAATGACAGTGAGCACCAAACACACCTGACATCCTGCCCTGCGGTTTGGTATGTGCCCTGTGCAGAGAGTGCACAAGCTCAATAAAGCTCTGTCTTCCTCAGGTGTGTGTGTGTGTGTGTGTGTGTGTGTGTGTGTGTGTATGACGCGATGTGTGGGGTATTTCTACCACACGGGATCCACCAAATCACTGCTGGCGAGTGACTTCAAACGCGCCTCGTTTATTCAGTGCACAGCAATAACATTCACCTGGTGAAAATCGACATTTGTGAGGCAGAAATTAAGGGGAATTTGACCCCTGGTATAAAGGTGTCTTTCTGCAGCACTCACCCTCACACAAGCTGGAGGGGAGGGAAAGGGGTGAGAAACAGGAGGGAGGGAGGGAGGGGCGGGGGCAAGAATTAGAGCCAGAAGGAGACTGGGGAGAGAGGAGGGCAGGAAAGATACTGAGAAAGAAAAATCGAAAGGTTGACAGACAGGATGAAGGGAGTCAGAATGAGAGAGAGGTGGATAGAAAGCAAAGGTGAAGAGAATGCAAGGACAAGAAGGTGAGACAAGATTGTGATGAGGCAGGAAAAGAAAGATGGGAAAAGGAGTGAGGATGTTACGCTGTCAAGATGATGAAGGACCTGAGGAAAGTTAAGCAGCCGGACTGAATTTAGCTCAAAACAATATCTTCCTGCTGGTGGAAATCTCATTATGGAATCCAAAACTTTCTGCACTTGTCCTAATTAAAACATATAACTCATCATGTTGGCATCTATATTCTTGATTCAAAATGGCCAACTTACTGTCTACCACTTCAGGTTGAGAGGTTATAGGGTCTTCTCTAAATATGATGCTGCTGACATGGCTGTAATCTGGTCTGGAACAGAGAGCTCATTGTGCCTGCTCCCTCTGCTGGCAGCTGTTGGTACTACAGGCGCAGCTTCCACAGCGGCACACTTGGCTCAGACATCTGCAACATGGAAAGTGATGCTTAGCCTCCATCTCATTTGTCTCAGTCTACTGGTTCGAGTCAGGGTAACCAGACTTGCGTATTTACCACGACTCTGAACTGGAGAGTGTGAACAATCCTAAACTCAGTGGAGTTGGCCAGCTCAGTAAAACGTAAAAATAAAAAGAGGCCACTCTGGGATCTATAACAAGGCCGACCACACATCAACCAAAGAGGAAAAACATGATAATACTGTAACTACTGTTATGTCTACATGTATTTCTATGTATGCCACTCGCGGTTTGTACCAAAACTGGATTTAGGAAAACCATGGAGAATCATTTTAAAGCATGAAATATTGGGACATGAAAATCGAAATTATCCACCAATGAATCACTGCTTGGTTTTTCTAAACAGGCTCTAATCTGACCCCAAGTATGTCCTTTCATCATGACTGTCAGTACATATAAAAAAAAAAAGCTGCAAGAAAATATGATCTGCCTAATCTTACACAACTGCCTCTAAACCCTTTAAATATTCTGGGTTAGAAGAGAGTGTAAAACTGGGCAGACAGGCTTTAAGTATAACCTAAAAATAAAGAACTTAGATAACAGTGATTGAATTTAAGTTTTGTGCATCATTTCAGGCCCTGAGCCGTGCGCTAAGCTGTGCAAAGGCTTTACAGTCTTAGCTTGTGTAAGCCAGGAGGAGGACCAGTTACTCTGGATCATGCTCTGGACAGATTGTCACAGTTAAGGGAGGAGACAGACTGATGGAGGTGGCACGAAGAGATATAGAACACAGCCACCAGTGCAGGGTGAAATTTACCTATAAAAATGTTCTGATCTCAGTTCTGCTGCTTCCTTATTGGCCAAGGTACAAAAAGTAGGCGGGGAGGCAATTCAGAGCAATTTCACCACCATGCAGCTCTAATCCGCAGAGGAGGAGGAGGAGGAGGAGGAGGACGGGGTGGGTGGAGCACCAGCAGACCATGGTTGTAGAAAGATGGATGAGGACAAGAGGTCAGTGCTCCCTCTAGAGTTTGAAAGGTGGGAGTGCGGTGCCAGCGGTCAGCCGGGGCCCTGGGGTCCTGCTGGACTGAGGAGCGTACCATCATCTCTCCAGGACACAGTGGGAGCCGGGCCGGGACGTTCCACTTCATGGAAAGAGAGTGGGTGTTTTATGTGGAGCCCTAAGGAAATGAGAGCACTCTGGTAATTTTCAACCTACAGTGTGTTTGAAGCCTGTAACTACTGTGATTAAATGTAATTTTCATTTACTTCTTGCAAAATCAGAAATTACCTGGAACAACTTAACAAGTTTGTTTAATAATAAAACGTTTTATAGAGTTTCAAATGTGAATAAATGAAAAACACGTGACGTACAGTATTAAAACCTTTACTCGGACATGATACAACAAACAGAAACAAGATTCAGAATTAATGACTGAAAAAATTATTCATATTTTTTTTCCTCTTTCAATCCCCAAAGCACACAATAGTCAATCAGCTCCACATGTACAATGGAGTAGGATACAAACAGGACAAAGAACAGACACAAGAGAAAGAGAGAAAAATTAAAAATAAGAGTGACAGATTCGGTTCTGATTTTACAGTTCTTGTATTTGTTTAATACTCTGTAATAAACAAAAGATGAATAGTGTAGTTGGAGAAGAGAGAGACAGGAAACAAGACAAAGAAACAGTGTGTGAATTTTAAAGGTGAAAGTAAACAATGAAGGAAGATTCTAGATCTACTGGAAAATTGGTTTTTCGGTTTTACTTCTCAAATTGACAAATGAACACCTGATCCGAGTTCTTAATGTCCCTGCCCTTCTTTTCTTCCCTCCTTCTCTCTCTGACGTACCCCTTCACAATTCCTCCAACCTTAAAAACCAACAACCTCCTCCTCTTCAAAGAGATCAGTCATATTCAGTTGATCCCTCCCATCAAGTTCATTCAGTGTGACCAGATCCTGCTCAGAGGTGTTGCCTGTAAACCAGGCCTGTGGATTCTGGTGGCTCTTCAAACTGTGTGTCTACAATTACAGCCACAGTTTCTGCCTCAAAATCTAAAACAGACTATGGAGCTTGTGTCTTTACTGCTGGTAGTACCCAGCTACAGCCACACACGTCTCTAACGCAGTGAACACGTCAGGCTGCTGTGGACCCGGTTGCAGAAACACCTCACCAAATCCAACTGAAGAAGAGCAGGTCCTAGGCTAGGCTAGGCTAGCCCTGTTAATTCTTTATTTGCATTTCACTCATATATGCATTTCCCTGTGTCTTTGAAACCAAAGCAGACGGTTTCAGGCTGCGGGACCCTTTAAAAAGCACCAATGCACAGCTTGAGCACCCGGAGGGGGCCACACACTGGTCTACTTCTCTCTCCTCTGACCAGTCCTCCCCTCTTCACACGAGCTGTCATTCCATTCCTATTAGGGCCCCTCTTTAGTATGCACTACACAGGCCAAGGTTAGCGCACACTGTTTAGTGTGCTGCACAATAATCACAACATACATGACAAACAAGCACTGGGGACTGAGTGGCCCTGCATTTAAAACGGCCACATCCGCAAACAGCTTGGCAGTGATAAACAAACCAGTGAGGGTGGTGGTTTCAAGGCTGCATAGCATACACTGCGCCTCATTGATCATAACGGGATGGGCCTTGGCTCCAGGGGGCCTGTGTCAATAAGTAAAAATGCCGCCCTGATTTCTTATCTATACATAATCTATTCTTCGGTCACAGCCTGCGATCCATTTCAAAAAAAGCATATTTAATCAATGTCTTTATTTTCAAAAAGCGAATAATTTCAAAATGTAACAAAGATGGCGACAACAATACTGCTACACAGTCAAAAGGTCACAGCATGCGTCTGCCTTGAGTGCACACGGTTGCAACGACAAACATTTTGTGGGCGGTGCGGTGCGATCCGGCGGTCTCCCATGGCGACCGCAGATCGTCGCTGCTCTGCCGTCAAGTAAAGTTAAGCAAAGAGGGACACACGGCACTGAATCCCTTCCTTACAGCTCTCCAACGCTTATTCCACTAAAAGCTTCACATCCTTTTCAAACAGTCCAAGAATCATAGTTTTATTTTGCAAGTCCATTCCAATGCAAAGCCAGTAATTTTCAGCCCACATGGGTAAGTGAATAAGCATTTGTTAAGCTTAAAAGTAAAGCGGTGGAAACAGGGCAAAGTGAAGGAAGGGAGGAGGCTGGGCTGTGTTGATAAAGCATCAGGTCAACAGGCCAGTGACTCACCCCTCCAGCCTGGCTCCTTTTCCTCTATCCATCCTTTTCATTATTTTGCTCCACAAATCAATTTAACAGCGCTCAGCACATCACAGCCAAAGCCACAGTATCTGCCAGTCAAAGGGCGTAGCTGCAGACAGATTCCATACACATGTGCATAAAAGCATACACATGTGGCCACACATACCCTCTAACAAACGCAGGAAAAAAAAAAAAAACTCAAATACCGAACCACCAGCTATTGCTTTTAAAAACAGTCTGCCCGATCAGCAAAAGCTGGCTTAGCATACAGAACCTGCACCGCCTGTATACTGTTCATCGTTCTCTAAATAAGCTTAAGCTCATAGCAAAATATAGAGAAATATAGAAATGGCATGGCAAAACTTAAATGCATTGCTGTTATATGGAGGGATGAGAATTCTAAGTGCTTTCACTGCCAATTCATATCAATTTATGTAACAGACTAAGCCGAATTTACAAATGCACATATTGCATGACAACTGTTTTAACCATCTTGACACAATAAGAATACAGGTTGCATATTTTGAATTTCGATGAATTATCAACAAAGATGGCATTTGCTCAGTCAGCTGTGTATGTGACTAGCATTTAAATGTCAACTAGCTGATCCTCCAGCACTTGACTGATTGTGTAATCATTCCCATCCCTGGCTATAAACATGATGCAGTAGCAGCAGGCTTAAACATTCAACAGAGGAAGCTCCAAAAATAAAATCCTGCAGAGAAAGTTGCTGAGATGTCAATCTAACCAAAGATGAGATTATTTACAAAAGCACGCGTCCTAGAGTCGGTCTGCTCTCTGAGAGGCGGGGGGGGGTCTCATTTTGGGTTGCACTCAAAAACTTCATTCCATAGTCCAATTGTCTTAGGATAGCTAAGCTCTAATCCAGATCGCACATTGCGAAGCCTGGCAGCCACTAAATCCTCTTCACTGAAGTCTCAAAACTCAAAAAAGGCTGCTAATATTAGTTCATCTGAACCAACTCAAGCCATAAAGCACTGAGACCGTATCACAGCATATACAGTACAAGAATGCTGGCAGATGTTGGTCATAAGCTCCACCACCACCTTGCTTTTCTTTGCCGACACCAACGTGCGGCAGCAATGATGTACGAGGGGCTGACTTTCCTCTGCATGTCGGAAATGAAGACTACTTTGTTGAGTTGGCTGTGTGTATGCACGGATGGAGAAAAACTGAAACAACACCAAGGTTAGACCAACTTATTGACATGTTAAACACAACCACCTGTCTTACAGGTCATCTAACTGCCAGCCTCCAAGTCCACATTACATGGGGGAGGGCCAAGGATCCTCTCTGAGAAGAGCTAATTGGCCTCTCCGCAGGGCAGGAAGCTCATCGCTCATTCTGGTCAAAGTAGCTGGTGGACACCAAAGTTCAACAGCTACGCTCATCACTTCCACCAGCCTAACTGCTTTCTAAAATACAAAAGGCTGTGGCTGTGTCTGTGTCTGGCAGAGTACAAAGACTTATCATTTTCCATAGTTGGGAGTCTGAAATATATTTAGGGGTCATAGAATAACAAAAAGAGAAAAAAAAAATCGAAGAGGGAAATCTACATCTTTAACAGACCTGTTCAAAGAGTGGACAATGGCTGTCTGATTTGTCTGCGTACTTGCATACTGTGTTTGCATTGATGTAAATGTGCAAATTCTTAACTAAAAGACCATATTTGTTATTTAGCACCTGGTAGAGGACAGCTGTACCTCTTCCCTGTAGAATGATACTGCACAATGTACGTTTCTAATTTCTATCAAATGTGGTGACTATTAAGAAGGTTAAATACACCTCAGAATATCAACACTCTTCCAAAATACTTTACTAACAAAAACGGTAATAAATCTTTGTGTACCCCAGTATTGCCCCTCTTCGAGAGCGTGTAGACGGTTTAATTTATAGTTTGCTTTATATCTCCTGATCACGTGGTAGCTGCATTTGACTCCTCACTACAATGCTCAGATTCAGTTGCCCGCAAAATTTCAATCACAGTAAATGTCAAGTGCCATTGTCAATGAAATCCAGCCAATCAGTTGCCAAGAACAACAAGAAACACTGGCAAGAAGTTGGTGCAAAAGCAGCAGCGAGGTGTGGTTTGGCCCTGGGCTCAGTAACTATTTCATGGTGACGTCATCACAGGGGGAGGTTGATTCAACAGCAGAAAATAGAGCTTTTAAATTTGTTTGTTGGAGCCACATATTTCCCATTCACAGATGGTGAACAGGCATTTGTTTCTGCATAACTCCTGTTTTTTTTTTATTTACATCTACTGTACAAAAGTCGCAAGCATTGAGCCAATACACACTGAATAAAAGTCCAAAGCTGCAGGTAGTAGGTGTAGGATTTCCATTATATAACACTTAATTCATTTCATTATTGCATTATAGTAACATAACACTCAAAAGACAATTTGCAATTCAAACGTCTGTTCATTATTTGCCAATTCATATCCACAGCCAGGGATCTATCCATGAGCGGTGGGCTACAGAAGTTCTGTATTGTAGATTAGCCAAATTAGATATTAACTACCAGGTGAAATGAAATGTTGCATTTTTGCCACTGTCAGATCATTTCTTCTCGTCTTTACACTTTCTATCTCTGCTGCTGTTTTTTGTGTTTCAGAAAAAAAAAAATCTGTTTTTCACACCTCATTTTTACAGAGAAGACAGAGTGCGGCATCTTGAATACGAAGCAATACCTCTCATACTGCTTAAGTCTCTTGTACGAGGATGCTTCAGCAGCTGCTGGGTAGAGGGGTCAAACGCCAGCCTAATCTATTCACTTGATAGGCCACATAAATTAGATACAGGCTGAACGATTACAGGCAGAATGGTCCAGAGAGCAGATAAATTTCCATGGTCAATGGACAGTTGATAAAAATAAGATTTTTTTGGAATAGACAGCAACCTATCAAGAATAATAGTCAAGACCAATTCCCATAACGTGGTTCTTTTGGCAGGAAGTGGCCAATTATTATATATATATATATATATATATATATTATTATAGCAAGTTTGATAACAAATCATCATATCTGATTTGACAATGATGCAATAATGAGAAAACCCTACACATAGTACCTTCAAGGTTGTCTTAGGTCTCTGAGAAAAGATGGTCATTTCTAGGAAACGGGAACATTTACACAGTTACAACTCACAAAAGTGCATAAATGACCACCAGCGAAGGGAGGATTTGGGGGAACAGGAGATAAAAGAGAAACAAATACTCTTTTGTCTTGCATGAAGCTGTACTTCCTGGGAGCCTCAAGCTGTTTAAAATACCAACCAACTGCCAAAGTAGAGAAAAGGATAAAATCAAAACTAAAAATAATAATAATAATTCAAGTCATTCTTCTTGCCTTACAAAGCCCGCTGTGCGCATCAGGGTGGGAGGGACTAAGTTTATCTGCTCAACAAAGTGCTCCCAGCCCCCTTTTCCTGGATTTCAATGCCTTGGAAAAAGCTCTCATTTCATGAGTACAGTACTTCAAAATAGAAACTCAAACAAGTTTCAGCATGAATATTCAAAAAAAAAATGAAAAAAAATGCATAAAATATTTCAATGTTTTCGAGATTGGATGAACTCAGGAGGGTGTGTCTGCCTGTTCATTACTGGACACTTCCTGACCAATAAGAAGTGAGCTTGTTTGATGGTGGACAGTTGATTGAAATGCTATGCACCTGATTTTAAGCTAAAACCATACATGAATAACTAACCGGCTAGTGATGGATACAACATACAGAGGTGCAGCTGGCAGTGTAACTAAGTAACCCAAGTAAAACAGGGGAAGTATACCAGTTACGCAGAAGCAAAAACCCACTGTGAGATGAAGATGTGAAAACTGAAGGCTAACTTAAAATTAAGACATTTACTGTATATGTGTGATAAAAAGGGCGCATATTCCTTGAATCATTTACCCCTATGGTGGAAAACGGAGAATGGGAAAAGATGGTGAAAATATGTGTGTGTGTGTGTTTGAGTACGTTTGTGTATTAGCATACTGTTCATTCAGAGCCATATTATCTGTGTATTAGCTATGTTGTATGTCACTTCATGCATGCAAGCAAAGACCTGCATTTGCATGTGTGAAGATAATTAGCCGGTGACAGGGAATACGTGTGTGTGTGTGTGTGTGTGTGTGTGTGTGTGTGTGTGTGTGTACGTGTGTGTGTGTCTTTGTGTGTGTATACAAGTGTGAGAGCCGGTACATTTAAACCAGCAGGTGCTGCAGTTAAGTGAGGCCCAACGAAAAGAGCCAACGACCCAACACGGGGCGCCGTGCCGGTAATCCTGGTGTGCATCAGATCCTGATCGGACCGAACCTGGCTCCTCTAGGTGAGCTGGTGAGGTGCCTCTAGCATCTCCATCAGGAAGGTGTCGATGGGTGTGTCACCAATCAGTTTGAAGAAGAACAGGTGCTCCAGGCACTTTAGACCAATGGAGCGCAGTGCTGGGAGCCGGAGAAGCAGCTTTGCAAACCTGGACAAGGCAGGGAAGGGTGAGGAGAGCAGAGTGAGAAATGACCACAGATCTGTCAGTCATAGAAACTGAAAACGAGAATTCAGAAGATGCACGAAGCAGAAATTCACTTGAGCATGTAGAAACGTAACTTACTAGAGTAGAACTTACAATAAATAGCAAAACAAAATGAAATGTATAACGTTAAACCTGAATAAGTCTTGCCAGGTGAGTGACAGTACGTCTTTTTACCTTCTTCTGCCAGCTTTGTTTATGAAAGTACATGTTATAGTGTGGCAACATTCAATCAATCAATCAATCAATCAATCAATCAATCAATCAATCAATCAATCACTTCACAGACTTGGTGGCATTCCTACGTTTCCCATGACATTACTAAATTCTACAGGTGTGCGACAGCAGCAGTTAAGGCCTGTAACAGTCCATCAGAAACATGTTATTTCTATCAAGAGAACTGTGCAAATTATCAAATGACCAACCATTAATTAAGAGTTCCTAACGGCAGATTTGTGCCTTAACAAAAAAGACCTTCCACGTGTCTTTTTTGTCTCTCTAGTAAAAGGTCCTCGCAGAAACAACAGCATTATATCCAGCCTCCAAACAGCTGCTCTGTGCTGCAGTAGCTGCTGATTTGAATATTATGCAACAGCACAACCTGTGACAACTAGAAATTTCAACTCTTGTCAGTATGTCTGTGCGTTATAACCCACCTGCCCTGCTGATCGGGGTATTTCTGTTTGCAGTAAGCCTCGAGAGACGCATACACTCTCTCTCTCAGGAGCTCCACCTCACTGGGGTTGGACAAACCCTTGGCATCTTCAGGTGAAAACAGAGAACATTAACATTATCTCTATATGGTAATGAAATACATTTTAAAATTCCTTCAGTTCTTCAGACATGAAATTGTCCACTTTGGTGTCCCTAATGATATCTTCCACATTGACTTTCAATATTCCACCCGTCTGTGTACCTGGGTTGAAGAGGATGATTGCTCGAAGGCAGCCGAGCTCTGTCTTGTCCATTTGCATATCTCTCATCTTGCTTACAAGCTCTGTCAAAACCCTGCCGAGAGGAGAGGAGAGGAGAGGAGAGGAGAGGAGAGGAGAGGAGAGGAGGTTTGCAGGTGGAAATCCCAGTTGGAGACAGGAGGACAATGCCAGATTAGGTAAGAGAGAAGAAGAAAAGGAAAGGACGGGAGAAGGAGGAAGAACATGAGGGAAAAAAGAGAGCAGGAAAGTGATAAAAACAGGAGAGGGGGGAAGAAGAGGGTAAGAACAATAGAGAGGGACCTGACTGCATAATCACATTGTTATTTCTGGTTACAGCTCAGAGTAATGACTTTATATCCAAACCACTTAGGCCATGGCTGAACTGCTGGTTCAGCAGGAAAATACAAACAAACACTGGTTAAAACTGGTCGATGTGGCAAACTGCTGCCACCAAATGGTGGGAAGTTCTGGCTGTGTCTGATTCTTTGTTTTCCTTCTTAATAATTCAATGGCTGCTTGTCTTTGTTGTACTTATAACTAACTGTGTTAACAAATATGTGGAGGTTGTTGTCAAGTGTTATGAAAGTGACGCTGAAATCTGCCACGGCTGGAGAGTAAAAACATAAAAAAGACTTGCTTTTTTATCCACTTTATTCCACTAGAGAATATGGCAGTCAGAGTCCAGGGGCTAAACACACACTTAGTAACAGTTAATGCCCTTTTTAAATATAATTCAAGGATTAAATCTTGCTCATTTTAAGGTGGACCGTTGGCCTATATTTTATAACTGCTAAGCGTATCCACATGCATCTCTAACACGTCGTTTTATTTGAGATGTAAAATACTGATGCAATGAAGACAGCGTCAGAACAAGGTATGATACAGACTTTGGGAAAAAAATGTCATATTTAAAATTCCATCCACTGATTCTTAAAAAATACTTGAACTGTAATTCAACAACAATGCATGCAAACAGTAGAAACAAAAACTTACCCCTGCAAAAAGAGGATAAATACCAAAGACTTGCCAACATACTTGCCAAATACATTTTTAATCAGAGGTAATCATGCTTCACTAGATGTGTAGTGCAATAATATACAGAACCTAAGTTTGGACCATATGTGTATCTTAAATACGTTTAAAACTTGAAATTACTTCTGCTCTCCTCCCAAGAATATAACTTGGATGAAAGAGGAGGGGTTGATACAGACCAGGGAGGGAGGGGAAAGAAAGGAGACAGTTTATTTGTTACTCCATCATCCATCATCAGAAACAGACATCTGATTTTAATGACATGGACTGATTTGAACTCACAGCGCCCAAGCCCACAATACAGTGGATTGCCATGAAGTTGTTATACACACTCAGCACAGTGGATAAATGTTTTATTCGTCTTTAGTTTTGAAAGTGGTGGAGAGTAGCCATCTTCTTGGATTGAAAAGGGCCAACAACACCTCCAAAAGGCTCAACAGTAAATTGCGTCCTCTAAAGACTGACTGACCTGACTGTGTTAAACTGGAGTAATACAGTATTTTCTCACACAACCACATCCCACCATTACAGCCCTGGGAAAGCTAGCTTAGCTTCACAAAGCCAGCCCACATGTTTGGATTTGCTCATTATGGTCTGGCGAAGCTCAACAAGCATTTGGTTTGGTAAGAGGAGGCATCGTTAATGGGCAAAAGTTGAAAAGTTTTCTGCAGGCGATTGGCTGAGACTTCTAGCAATCAAAGTCACAAACCAAATACGCTGCTGAATTCAAGTTCAAAATGCAGTACATCACCGTCTAACCCACACCTCTGTAGTTCACCGAGTGATTCCGTTAAACCGCTCTCAGCGTGTGTTGTTCAGAATCTTTTAGCGTAATCCGGCTGACCTCTGCAAAGCTGCGGAAACGCCTAAAAGCATCAACCTTTTTAGCTTTGGTTCTGTGTTTGTTTCAATGTTGACTCAAGAGGAGGGGTTTAAGAAAAGTGTTTGTGTAGTGGCGTAATTACCTGTCAAATATGGCCCCAACCTCGGCATTGTGCGCCCTGTGTATTCAATCACAATGTGTTATTACAATGTCATTACACAGTTACATTATTATTACAGTATTCTGTTTGTTTTCTGAGTCTGAGAGGTGGCGCTGACATATGGTTTCACCTGGTGAAAATCTGATGTATTTAAAACTGTTGTAAAACAGCATGGGGACAGTTAACATTTTTCTCATCTGGGCTCAAGCTTTGCAACATCTTGCACCTTCACCCAAACACTGACACTGCTAAATGTGGACCTCTGATAAACATTTGATCAGTTTTATGACATCATAGATTGCAGTCTTATATAAAGGCACCACTATATTCACATGTATTAAAATAAGCAGAAAGGAGGTAAATCTTATGAGCCAAATGCATAACAGCAGAAAACCATTAGTACACATGAAACTAATGAGTCAAAAACTATTAACCCTCAAATTTTAATAGGTGTTCGTAGCTAAATGTCAATACATCATAAGAAGCAACTTCAGGAAGTTTTACTGAGCTGTGGATTTAATTGTGTGTAAAATAGGGGCTCAAAGTGCAAAATACAACATTTAAGAAAACAAATTAACAACACACAAAACAGAAATCAACAACTAGTAAATCAACAAAACAGAAAACACAACATTTCAGAAAATACAACAAAACGGAAAAGAAAGGTGCCTACTATCTTTGTCATTCTTCTCACTGAGTGGATGGCTACAATATCACTCAAATACAAGGAGTGTGTATAGAAAAGGGCCAGATGTGCTCTGCTTTTTCTTTGTGCACCTGTTACAGATTGTCCCTCCCTGAGGGAGGCAGGGGTCAGCAAGTGTCCTTCCTGCTTAGAATGACAAAAATAGCAGCTACCAACTCTTTGCTGTTGTAAAATGTTGCGTCACTGAAATATGGTGTTTTTTCTTTTCCCAATTTGTGTTGTGAAATATTTTTCTGTTGTGTAGTTCTATTTTCTTGTTTTCTGCTTTGTTCAGTTGTTTTGTTGGCTGCTCTGATTTGCACTTCAGGTCCTTCCTGGTAAGAAGTCTAATCCAAGTAATGCATTACAAAGAAATGATATTCAAAAATTTTATTGTTTACATCCTCCTTGATAACATGATTCAGTAGCTTCAAACAGATGCTGATGCCAAGCTGAAACAGAAGCCTGCTGCTAGAAGCAGTGCTATCAGAAAAATTAATATGTATCAGAGGAAAATCATTGAGCCGTGTGCCATGAGCCCAGTTAGCTTGCTTTAAATCTGACTGGATTTCTCAGCAAAATCAATATATTATAACAATGTAATTACTGTGTAATTAACAGTGAATTGACACGTTGTGATGTACTTGGGGTTTTATATAAAAGTCGAGATTTGCAGTATCTATTTATTTTTTTAACTAAAGCAGGTGATGATGTAATGACCAACAGAATGTTTCACTAACAGCACAGGAAGTGCATTAAAATCTGCTAATGTAAAATACCAGGATAATGCAATAACATTATGACACGAACCAGCATTTATCATGGCATTAAGTGTCGTATCTTAATCAAAGAACGTTCTGCAAAATATGTGTTTTGAATGATGTCATTACTGGTTTGTAGTGACAATAATACAGAAGGCTGGAGAGGCCATGGCTGTAACTGTGTTTATGTTTGGTTTTCCAGTGATCATGGAATAAATATATCAGGATCTGAAACTAACAAGCTTGCTTTAGATAGAAATATATGTGACTCTGGACTGATAGTGGACACCAATTAAACAGCAGCTTCCAGAAAACACATAAGGCACAGTTTCTATAATATTACTTACAGTGTGCCGGGGGCAGTTAACTTATTTAACAATGTTGTGAACTTAGAGGAGATACAAGATACAAGAGTGGCAGTGATCGCCAGTCACAGATGATTATCAGAATCTTCTGCATTTGTATCTAATGAATTAATGATCACGAATTGACAGTCTGGTTTATGTGAAGACTATAATTATTTTATAATCCAAAGACAATAAAGGCAAAGACAGTAGAGACAATAAAGAAAATGTAACACCACAATATATACCCATGGCCTCTGCATTGTCCTGTACAATAATGGGATGTAAACTCGCATATTTTCAAGTATTTTAAGGGACATTCCTATTATATATTCACAAGTTAGTATTGTACATTAGCCAGCCATGATCACACAATCAAATGCTGCAATAGGTGCTATGCCGCTGAGTGTGTACGCGCGTGTGTGCGCATGCATGTCTATGGGTAAGCATTAGTCACCAGCCTCCCCGGCATGCGCTGTCACCCTACAGGCAGTACTAAAGCAGCAAAGTCTCTCAGCCAATCACAGCCAACGCAGAACACAGCAGCTGCAGCCAACCAAAGATGAAGACACAGTATCTTAAGTTCTTATCCCAGCCACTAATCCAGCTAAACCTGAGTAACGTGTGTTCATCTTATAAAAACAGTGAGTGCTAAACCGTCAGAGACAAAAAAAAAAAAAAAAAAAAAAAAAAAAAATCATGTGGATAAATAAAGGAAAGTGTTCTTTCTTTATTCATCTAGCTTTCAGGACTGATGTGGAATTACCAGGTGATTTAAAGAGGGGATTGTGGACTTTACCTGACCTTTCCGGGTCCGTCTATTTCAGGCTAAGAGTAGGTGGTCCTAATACTGTGTAGAAGCGGATCTATTCTAAGCAGGGATCCAACACTTTGGATTTCAGAGTGAGGTAGAAAGGCTTCTGAAAAAACATTTAAATCACATTACGCCAAAATGCTCTGGCAACTGCATATTTTTATGGTGGCATGTCCTCTCAATTGGGTCACCCACCCAAACTCTTGAATGCTGGGGAAATCACTAGTGTAATATGTCGGTCACAGTTATACTGTTTGTACATATGTATCTGTGTATTACCTGTCAAAGATGGCTCCAACACCTGCACTGTGAGCACTGTTCCTGTGGACATGCAGGCCGGTGGCCAGTAAAATCCCGTCCTTCACTGAGATGGAGCGATGGGAGAACGATGCAATCAAGAGTTCATTCCAACCTGTTGAAGAGTTGGTGTCTCAGTAATTATAGGGAATCAAAATGTCTAAATATTCTACTGTTGTGCTGCTTTTTCTTTCTTAATATCCGATATGGCCGAATGTTCCTGGACCAAACTTTGCTAATTGAAAATCTCTCATTAAACACCTACTGTCACTATTTTGTAAATATTAACCTCTCTTATTCAAAAAGCTGGGACAGCAACAGCTGCTGACAGACCTGGCTCTGCAGTCCTGCACCCCCTGCTGAGCTCGACACATTCAAAAAGGACTAAGCTACGCGACAAGGGAAAGTTGAGAAAGGCTCAACTTTATGCAAATATCCTTGGACACAGCACAAGTGATGCCATGAGAGAGTCAATTGTGATCATATTGATTTCTGCTGAAACATAAGCACAGAGCTGTTTACTGTTATACACACCTATGCAAAGGAACTTGTTTAACTTTAACACAATGAAGGAAAAGTTGATCGTTGCAGTCTCTGAATTTCCATTTTTCTGCAATGTGTCTTTAATGAGTTTACCAGAAATAAAAAAGAAGAATGGCATGTGGAAACAAACTGCCAACAATTGGAAACAACTGTCCATACGGAGCAGAATATGTAAATTATGCACTCAATGCAACAAAACACACCCCGACAGCTGCTTTGTATCCATATGTGTGAACGTCGTGTTACTAGGATCTACCACCTGATCCCGGCCATGTTCAGTTTTCATGACAATGTGCCACAGAGGTGTTGATTTAAAACTACAGTTGTTGGTGTTTAAAACTGTATTTCAGTGTTCCCAGGCTCTCTTAAACATCAAATTCCAAGGACTTTTCAAGGACTATAAAATATCCAAGAAACTTCCATTTCTCTATTTGCATAGAATATATAAATTCAAGCACTTTCAATGACCCATGTCTATTTATGTCTTTTTTTTTTTTTAACTTTCAAGGCCTTGCTTTTTCCTCAAATTTGCAAACTTTCATGGATTTCAAGGACCCATGAAAAACCCTGGTATTTGCACTACAATAACTGTTTGTCTAAAATATTCTCGTGCAGCATTCACATACGATACACCCCACTTACTTTCCCTTTATTTTCTTTCATGCCGTGTGAGTGCGAGTTAAAACTCTGCAGCCACTGAAAAGACGAACATATCCAGAGTTTGCATCAGACCGTGTCTTTTCTTTGGCTGTGGAGGAAAAAGCAGAATCACTTCTGATTCAATAAACCCTCTCGGGTCAGGCTGAGAGTTTACCTGCACGTAGCAGGATGACCTGGTCGTCCAGGGGCAGCTCCGAGAAGTGAGGGATCCTCTTAGCCCACTCCACCAGGGTGAAGAGCTGCTTGTCTGCTGCCTGGCAGATGTTGGTGACAGGATCGTTGGGCTGCATAATGCAGATTAAGAGGATTATTATAATTATTCCATCAAATAATGTGATTAACAGACACTGTATGATTCATACCAACAACAATCATCTCACATGTTCAATATCTGCATGTCAAACTTGATTTGAAAATAATTTCAATTGTTAACCCTCAATGCAAGACAGTTTGTGGTTAATATCTACCATCCAGACTACTCACAGAGCTGCCACCTGAACTTCCATCTGCATGAAGCTCTGTCTTCTGCTCTACAGCCATCTCTGCTTCCAAAATCTTCTCCACAGGCATCTCCTCGTTCACTGCACTAGTCGACTCTACCTCACCGTCTCGATCCTTGTTTCTCTGCCGTTCCTCTTGGACAGCTGCAGGATGGAGGATTGGGCGGAGAGGAACATAGGAGAAAACAATAAAGGACAAGAAAGAGGAGAAAGAGTAGAGAGAGCAGACAAGGAGAAAACGTGGATTAGAGGGATGGGTGAAAGATGGTCAACATGTAGGAACAGAGAAGCAGGAAAGGTGCAAAAGAAATGGAATGGACAAGGATGGGGGAGGCGAAGGGTTTGGACAGGTAGGCAATTTTAAATACAACAAGAGGAACATCAAAGAAAGTGAAGGAAATGTAGTGGAAGAAGGATGAGTAGGAAGGATGTGCCAACAGACAACAGAATGGATAACGTGAGATAAGTAGGAGTGGACAATGAAGAGGAGAAATGAGGGAAAATGAGTGGTGTAGGTGATTTACATACAAAAAGAGGCAAAAAGAATGGAGACAGATAAAAGAGTGAGACCAAATTAATGAGGAAAAATGTGCAAAACAGTGGGAAAGCAGAGTGACACAGATATATGATACACTCAGTCTCTCATACAGTCTTTCATACTCCTTCAGGCCCACTACCAAGGCAGTAATGGACCCTGTAAGACATACACCACACACATAATTATTATTCTTCGTGTTGTTGATGTTATTGTTATCATTATAACTAATGGTTTTAAAGTGACATTCAGGTGGTGATGAAATCTGACATTTTGTCCAGACTATCAATTTTTTATTGTCGCAAAATCTTTTTTTTTCTTCTTTTTTTTAATAGAACAGATATCTACAGTGACAAAGTTTCTCTTAATCCCTTACTCAGATTAAGGAAACTGGGTTTCTCATTTTCATGAAGTTCAAGAACTCAGGTCATCGTATCTAATGTTATGTTGTAAAACCTCCTGACTGCCCTGACTGTCTTTCCTGTCAAAAGTCTACCTCCCACAGACATCAGTAGTCACAGACTGAGGTTTTGTGCCTGGCATGGTCAGTCATGAACATCTGATTTGCTCCTTTGTCCTAAAATTGGGGGGTATGCAGTTAATTTAAAAAAGTCAACACTGTTAACCAAATGTCCAAGATGACAGCTGCTCCACACAATGGCAAATGCCACTGTCTAAATACATATGAACAGCACTGTGTTATGAAATAGTCTCATCAAACTGACTCCATAAAGGTTCGTAGATTAAATCGTTATATTTAGTTTGGATATTTGTTCAATAGTGACAAAACAGAATTTAAGCAGGAGGCATGTACTAATACATACAATACTAATTATATGTGAGGTCATTTTTACGTTTGATTTATGAGTCAAATACAATGTTGAGTATCAATTGTTCAAATAAGCCTTGATCAAGGAATAACAAATATTATGTATTCTTTTATTGATTAATTAATTATTGATTATTATACAACAGTTAGTTCTGACCAAGTAATTTGATTGGACGAGAGGCATTCTCATGAATGAATATAGAGTATAACAGCACTGGGACTTTTAACCACGTGTATCACTCCACAGGTGTTCTATTAACCATTTCCAGAAGTAACGTTTGAATTAAATGATGTCTGGTTGTCAGAAGAGGATTAAGGGAAGAAGCCTGGACACTTCATCGCACACCTGAGGTAACGTGTAGACAAAGTAGCAAGCTAGTGTGCACTGTGCAGGTCAGGAAAATGTTTGTGTGTTGCTTAGCAACAGTCCAGTACCAGTCCAGTTGCTATTGCTAACTATTTTTGTTGGTGATGTCAAATAAATGAGGAAATAAACAAACAAATCATAATCTGTTGTTGCTTATTTAACTAATATGGCGCTCGTAGAACTGTTGTATAAAAGCAATATCACACTCCAGGTCGTGATGCTGTCCTGAATATCATCTGTGATTGTCATCAAATCACAGCCGTGCTGATATTCAGTACAACACTCCCTCTCGTGTGATATTGCTTAATTAACATGTCTGACAACCGAATCCTAGTATGTGCACTTAATGTGAAGCAAAGCAAATATTTTGAAAATGTCCAGATTTTAATCTACTCGATTACTTTTAATCTCTCTTGGTCACAGTGTCTGTATTTGATACAGAAAAAGAAAAGGATTGAAAGCAGCTAGCAATTTTGAAAAGTGGGCTTGTGGTGGAAAGCTGCCACTGTGGAAAGGCTTGAAAAATCTGTGTTGGAAATTCAGTGAACGTCTTATCCTTTCTCTACTACAAGCATCAAAGTATGCTTAAACAAGGTATTTAATGCTCTTTAATAGAAGTGGAACTGCTCTGTGGCTGACTGTAGTAACTGTGATCTCAGTGGGCAGCACCGGAGTGAGAATAAACAATGAGTAACTTTAAAGTAAAGTAGGATGATGATTAAAGAGAGTGTGCTTACTCAGCAAACCTTCCCTGGATCTGTAAAGGTTAAAAAAACATGGGGATGTGATTCAAGGCTGGCACTGGTCCACCTCCGAGTACTGGCAAGACACTATGGAAAAGATTTTTAACTAGCTCCTTCTAAATGATATGCAATGTACTATCTCTCTGCTTCTTGCTCACTCATACAGGCACAGACATACACCCCTCCCTCCCTCTTCTCCTTACATCTGTCGTTCATCTTGGCCACTACAGAAGGAGGGAGGGGGGGAGAGAGAGAACGAGAGGAAACAAAAAGAGGAAGACAGGGGGAAAGGGGGTTAGTGTTTACAAGGCTTACCCACCCCCATCTCCCCCTCTACCACTTTGTGCTCGTTCTTCCTATCCCCTATCGTGCAAATATCACTGAAGCTTAACTTCACCTATAACCTTAAACTAGAAAAAAAAAATCTTATTTAAGGTTATGGGTGAAGTTGCAGTACCTGCAACAGAAAGCTGTTGCCTTCAATGTTCCTTTCATCTGCATTCACTTACTACTCAATGACTACTGTGGTCATAGTGGCAACGACAGTGACCACACATCTCAGCAACCTATCAAACATAAACTGAGCTGTGATCAGCCTACGATAAATGTAGCGTCGTAACATGCTGGGGAAGTCAGTCCTAATCTTAAATGGGAAAGTATAGCACAGTGAACTCTTACCTACACTGCTCAGCTCAGAGATTTAGCATCAGATAATCTCAGACTGACTGGCTTAAAATGGATCTAATGTGATTTTCGGTGGTAAGACGCAGCAGACAGATCAGCTGTAGTTCTTAAACGGTTTTGTCCGTTTCATTTTTAATGTAAAGCACTTTGAGCATTACATGAATAAAATCAGCTATATCATATACAATCACTCCTACTAATATATAATGATATACTATAAAATTCCACTGACTTTCGGACTTTTTGTTATAAACATGGCGGGAATCTTTTTAACAGTGTTCCAATTTGATAGCTGCTAAAACATGCTTTGCTGCTGCATTCACTTTTTCAATGGACAAATCATGGGACATGTTTACTGCTGACTGATGGCCACCTGGAGACTCAACACCTGGTAAATATGACATGGTTATGTAATGTGCAGACTAGACAAGGACTGCCACAACACACTGTTATGCCTATTAAATGTACTCAACCCCCTTGTGCCTTTTCCATGGTTTATTGTTTTACAACACTGAAGCACAGTGGATGTAATAAAGACTTCTGATATAGATCAACTGAAAAAAAGATCAATGTGAAAGCATAAAAAAATGTAAGAGGGCAGCAAATACCTTTTAGGAACTATATGAGTGGCTTGCAAGTGATTTTAGGACACTGTGGGATGCAAAGGGGATGAACTGTGTCCTCTAATTTCTGGCATAAGAAGGCTGCCATTTCTCAAAGAGATGCTGAAGGACTTTTAGAAAGGGAGATCCTTGATGACATGTAATGACGTGTCCCGGATTGAAATTTTGATTTTGAACGATGCACCACTGAAATGGCAAAACAGCCATCGTGTTTGGAGGAGTATATTAGCCCCAAGTGAAGTTTCCATTTTTTTTTTCTGATAAATGTGAGCAGTGGGCCTTTTTATCAGTAATGACAGTCCCACAGACCAAATATGCCACCGCTAAAGGGAAGTAGTTTCTTCCAAAACCAGAAACGCAGAAAACAGCCGAGCAGTCAACATCATCACTGATGAGTGTTAAAAGAGTCTAACATACACTGCATGCTCCAAGTGTTCACACCCATTTAGTTTTTCCACATTTTGTTATGTTGCAGCCTTACGCTAAAAAAAAACATCTATCTACATCAGATCATCAATCTACAGTCAATTTTAGAAATTTGTGCAAATTTATTAAAAAGTAAAACCTGTAATATCACGTTGACGTAAGTATTCAGATACTTTGATATGACACTTGATATCCAGCTCAGGTGCATCCCGTTACCTTTGAGATGTTTCCACACCTTGACTGGAGTCCACCTGTGGTAAATTCAGTTGGACGTGACTTGGAAAGACACACACCTGTCTATATACGGTCTAATGGCTGACAATGCATATCGAAGCAAAAGCCAAGCCACAAGGTCGTATGAACTGCCAATAGAGCAGAGGTGAACAACCTGACGGTCACTCTGGCTGAGCTCCAGAGATCCTATGTGGAGATGGAAGAAACTTCCAGCGGGACAACCATCACTGCAACACCCCCCCATCTGGGCTTTATGGCAGAGTGTGAGAAACAAGAGTCTCTGATCTGATGAAACCAAATCATATCCAATGAATTGAAACACGTGAGCTAAATTTGTCACAGCAAAGTGTCTGTATACTTTTGTCAACAGATATTTCAGTTTTTTTCAACTCTGTTTTCACTTTGCCATTATGGGGTATTGAGTATAGATTGATGGAGGATTTTTTTTAACTTACACCTGAGGCTACAACATTACAAATTGTGAAAAACTGAAGGGGTCCGAATACTTTCTGAATGCACTGTATTTGCCCCCCCCCCCCCCAGCTACCACTGGATAATCTTGAAATCAGATTTGGAGTGCATGATGTATAATATGACTGTGGAGTGCTGCTGCAAGGCTGAATGAAATGTGTGCCTGTCTATCCCTAACAAATTCACCACAGCTTCTCTGCTCGCAATAAATAACCAATTTTTTAAAAATCAAGTTCATCAAAGTCAATCAAAGTCTTTGTCAGAGCTTTCTGTCGGCCTCAAATAATTTATCATAATTTGTAAGAAGATGCACTACTTTGTGCATTTAACACTTAACAGTGTGTGTGAAAAGGTGTCACAAGTGGCCTCATTTTTAGGGGTTGTGACCAGAAGAGGTTGAGAACAAGTGGTATTCAAGGTGTCCTGAAGTTCCCTGTTTGCTCACCTTCTCTCTTCATGCCCATAGCCAGGCACTTCTGGTAGCGGCAGTATTGGCAGCGGTTCCTCTGTCTCTTATCCACCATACAGTCTTTATTGTCCCGACAGGTGTAGGTCAGGTCTTTGCGCACTGTTCTCTTGAAGAAACCTTTGCAGCCCTCACAGCTGTAGACGCCGTAGTGCTTACCTGGAAGTTGTGGAGGGGGGGAGGAAAAGAGCCAAACAACTAAGACAAGGAAGGAATGACAAATTCTTTCAAAGATGAAATTTAAAGGATTTCGGCTCGACTCTGACCAACTATTCAATTGTTTGCAGTTTGTAGAAATAGAAAATAGGAGTTGTATTTAAGGTGTGTAGTCACCAGAGGATCTGTCACCGCAGATGGAACAAAGGCGTTTCTGGGAAAGCATCGGCCCCGGGCTGTGGGACGACAGCTGCTTCAAGCCCAGTGGAGGTTTCACATCATCAGAGCTGCTCACTGCATGGAGCCCCGACATGGACACTGTTGAGTTGATCTGAAGGAATGACAGAAATGATGGTGAACACCAGATCCCCCTTCCACCTCCATAAGAATGTCAAGTATATGGTTAAAACCCCACCCATGACAGCACATTAAACATTAGATCGCAATGAGAAAAGTGTGCACCCCTTGTTTTTCCTGTTGTCCTGTTCCTCCTACTCTCTAAGTCCCACATGACCTTTTATATCTCTCTCTGACTAACTGATAAAAACAAGAGGTGTACAGAACAAAACTCATGACATTTAGCATGTGAAGATCTACGCAAATGGATGAGACAAAAAAGAGTGGGGGAAAAAACAAATTGAAAAAATTGTCAGCAGAATATATATGACCTCATGGAAAAGTAAGACATACAATGAGAACCATTCTATCAACTATTCTGTGATGAAGGGCAAGATATTGAATTAAAGACGGTAATTTTGATTTAATTATGCTTTCACGTCAAACACAAAAAAACATGATTTATTTGATATTACTGTATTGCAGTAGGAGATGGATTAACTGTCACTTTGTTTGCAGCGACCAAGACAATCTTAGAAATTGTCAATACCCCAACTGTAACATCGTCCACAAGCATCTACAATTTGTAAAACAGGTTACAGAGGATGCCCCAACATTAGGATGTGTACCCACTGTCCTGCTTTTTGTTTTTCTTTTAGAGAAGGCAAGTGTCGCACCGCCTGACAGATGCAGCTGAGAAAAAGGTGAACAGTGTGTACTTGCCCTTAGCCCTCGACGCCTGCTAACAAGTAACACCATGTAAAACCATGTAAAAACATACCTGGTTGTGTGGATTTTTTTGCACCATGAACTAATATGGCTTGCCCTTCTCCTCAATTTTGCAGAGCCAAGCCAATCTCCATTTATTTTTGACAGTCTCCAATACGTCGTAGCCGTCCTCCAGTAAAAGCACATTCATGCTAGCTAACCTGAATCAACTTTCCCAATTTCCTGATTCCCAAGTCCTGTAACACCAGAGGCAGTCCTGACCTCCCAGGGGCCCTGAGCAAAATTCTGCTGACCTCTCTGGAATCCAATTGTGGAATATCCGTCATAGTGACAGAAAACTTTAATCCATGTGAACTGTATGTATTCTCTGGCCTAATAAGATATATCTTATTCACACTGTAAAAGATCTAACACCGCAGCTAAATTTGAAACTACTAAAGCGTGGAAAATAAAGCAAAATATGAAGCGTTATAGAGCAGGAAAACAAGTGAATGGTAAAGGAATGTAAGTTTAAAAAATATACCTGATGTACATGAGTCCTCCCTTACCTGCGGGCTGCTAATGGGGCCATAGCCCACTGATGGTGTGCCAGGGAGGCAGGGTGAGCCCAGCGAAGAGCTGATGACGGAAAAGGGGGAGCCGATGCTACTGATGGGGCTGTTGACCCCGGCGGAGGTGATGGGAGGAAGGGAGGTCATGGAAGCTGCGGCTGAGGGAACTAGAGGGGGCGAGCGTTGGCCTGATGGAGGGGAGGACACAGATGAACTGTCCGGGCTGCGGGAATCTGATAAGAGACAGCAGAACAGATGATACATAAATAGCAAACGTAATCATGAATGAAAATAATGTGGTGCAAAAAAGGCTAAGCTTATTAGTAGAGGTGATACGGGTGTTGTTTTAATAAGACCACTTAAATTTGTAGTTGTAACAAATGGCACACTCATACACAAATATGCCGGTTAAGTTATCGACCAAATACCAGCAGTAAAATAATAACAATGGGGTGGGTGGTAGAGCTTAAATTTGATATACAACCAATGACTTGCAAATGTATTAGTCTATCCATAGTTTAACGATTTCTACAACTACAAAGCAGTCTTGCTACTTTCCATCTCTATTTGCAACTATTTAGTTTATTTTTTTGTTCCGTCTGGGGTCAAAGAAATGTTGAAGGTTTGCCCTATTCTTAATGCATTTTAAATTAACAAAAATGGCATGCTAGTAATTACTGACAACTCAACTGTGGCGCTGTCTTGATTGTAACCTCTGACTGACAATCATTTGCTAAACACATTGGTTCAAAATCCTCATTGCACAGTGTAAAGTAAACAAAGCTGATTTCCATTCCCAGTACAATTTGCTTCGCTTTTCACATCACAGGGTTTGGTGCCTAATGAAACTGCAGCAGACAACTAAAAAGCAACATTTGGTATTTGGTAGCTATTTCCTATATTTCTCCAAATTTTTCATCAGTTTTCACACAGCACCTGCAGTGACGTTTACCTGAGATGTGTGTTTTTTTTTTTTAAATTTGTGATCTGAATCTGATGGAATCGTGAGCTATTTTTGGATCAGATTTATTGAAACATGAAATAACAGACTTTAACTACATGTTATTAAATAAAAATGTATTTCTACCATTTTTTACTATATTTTCCCCCTGTGCTGGAAACAAACGGCAAACCTCACAAGGGGATATAGTGCTGATTGAATCATTCCTCCACCATCCTTCTACTGCTTGAGATCTGTATTATGCCAGTTGTTTTGTTTATTTTTTGTTTATGTTGTGGTTTGTATTTAGTTGGTGCTTTCTGCTGCAGCTAGCTGTGTGCTGCATTTTCTCTGCTTAAGGCTGTGTACTTGGTTGTCATCTGATCTAATCTATTTTTCTTGCCTCAAACGCACGGGAAAGAAATCAACCAATCATATGCCCACAAAATCATCTGCTGTGGCCTCTGGAGGCCAGTGCTTGCACAACCATGTGGATACTTATCAACTCAACAAATGCAGGGTATCATGCTTTTAATTACTGAGAACATTTCTTTTCCTCTATTCAGAAATTGAAGGTATTTGTTTCTTCACATTTCCATCAATTTCTAACACAGCACTATGTAAGCACTTGTACACCTACTTCAAGGTGTATAGTGAGAAAGTGGAGAGTCCTGTGTAGCTAAACAAGTTGAGCATGTCACTAACACTGGTGTGGTTTTCCATTAATTTCCTGGTGTAGGAATAGAGGTTCAAAGCAAAGTGGTGCAACAACGATACAATGTATCTCATATTACTGTTTAACACGGGATCCAACAGTGAAATTTATACTGTACTAAAAAGTAAGACGGTCACAGTAACAATATCTTCATGGAGTCTGGGTTTTTATGGTGCACAATTTAACTCCATTACAGTGCATGCAATATTACTATACAACTGGGTATGCTGAAATGAGACAATGTTAAAAACAGATTCATTCTAAATACTCACCACTGTCTTAAAGTCCACTTTGCTTTAGTCAACTGGTGGGATGGAAATCTGAATAACTGACACTGACAGACATTTCTAATGACTGTTCGCTCTGGAAGTCAGGGGGAGTTATAGGTCAGCTGTTCCCACTGTCACTAACATGCTTTAAAAAGCTTCAATATTCTGTCATTTAAGCAAAGTCTTGGATACGTTTTTGTTTCATCATATTCAATATATTTCATAGGCCTGACTCTACAGCAGGCAAGATCACAAATGTGTAGGTACAATTTGTTGTAGTTAATATCAACCAGAGTTTCCAATTGCTATACATTCATGTTGTTGCACTGCTGTTAACGAAATAAGTACTATTATTTTCTCACCTCTACTGTCTCCCATGATGGTGGTTGGGGCACAGGGGCTGGCTGGCAGCTGTATACCGACGTGCCTCCGTCTCACACAGCCCGCTATCAAACTCTAGACCGCGGACTGAGGCCCGGGCCGGAGTCGTTTTGGGAAACCAAAAACGGGTCTGAAATTCCAACACAAGAAAGAGCTCTGTATAAGATAATAGAGTGGTACAGAGAACGGCGATTTGTTTAAAACAATGTAAAACAAAACGAACAAAACTCAGTCCATTACAAGGCCATGGGCTGTCTGTATGGCTGTCAATAGAAATATTTGTGTAATTGATGCATTTTTTGGCATTTGATGTATCGTTATAGCAGGACTTTGCAAAACAGCCAGCTGCCCAGCTGATGCCAGGATTGTCTTGTTCTAATGCAGCACAGGGCAAATACAATGTGTTATTTAACAATTAAGCAAAAGTACATTGATACTTAGCATTGACTGTGTTATCTTGGTTAAACGCAGTAAAAAAAAAAAAGTCCCATCCCAGTGTATAGATGGAGCCCAGACAGATGGCAACAAACCACCGTACTTGCAAGCTAACGTTAGCTACTAGCTAACACTTGAAACGTCTGTACCAACCGTGAAGCTAAGTGGATGGTATTAGCAACCCTGTTTTAATATAAATTAAAATATTACACATCTCGACACGACGTTTAAAGCAAACGGGTGCCTGACGTTTCATTTAGTGGAAACTGAGCTACGTCTGGTGTAGGCTGGCAAAACAAGCTAAGCGCTAAAGCTACGTTTAGCCACCTAACCTAGCAAGCAAGCTAGTTAGCCGAATGCATCGGAGGAGAGCTACAGAACCAAAAACAAACCCGTTTAACACTGCCCGTTCCACCTCTACCTCATTCCCGTATTCATAAACTGGCTAAATGTTGTATGTATATATTTAGTGCAAATAAATACGGATTACTGACGGTTTAGCGGCACAGCTTCTTCGCATGAAAAGATGTGGCGACTAGGCCCCGTGTGTGTCTGTCTCTCCCCCCACTTTGCCTCGTAGTCAACCCTCCCTCCCCCTGCAAGGATGAAAACATGATGATGGTGGAGGATTTGGCTTAGTGCTCTCTTACAGTTGAACATGGGCTCCGAATCACTGCAAAACACTGCAGACCCGCTCCTTAAAGCAGGAGAAAGGTTGTGTGGTCATGTTGCGCCTCACATGTCACTGAGTGCGAGAGACACATCCAGTGCAAGAGGTCAAGAGGTCAAGACAAGTTCAGCTCACTGTGTCAGTTGCTGAAAAGGTTATTGGCGGACACTGGGGCTCTGGTGAACCTGCTGCGCTGGAATACAAACCAATGTTACAGTCCAGTATATGATCTCTTTATCTTTTATTTTCAAATGAATAATTCAGATATTTTTCTGTGCTTACAGGAACAACAGACAAGTACAGTACAGACTGATGTCTGGAAGAAGCGTGTGAAGAGATCCTCTGTAACTGCAATGGTAAGAGCCTCATTTTTCTTTGTGGCATGCAATATCCACTCATAGAAAATACATCTATACATATACATGTATACATACATACATACATATATTTATATATATATATATATATGTGTGTGTGTGTGTGTGTGTGTATATATATATATATATATATATATATACACATACATGTTTTCTTCTTAACATTACTTGATAATTTATATCCTCAGCAGCTACATTCAGGCGTGCCGTAAAGGGGGGAAAAGTTAGGACGATTCTAAGGGCCCATGACTGACAGGTGGCCTCCAAACAAAATAAAATATTTTTTTATTTTTTTATTTACCTTTGGTGAGGGGGCCCAATGTGATATTTTTTCATGGGGCCCAAAATCCCTGGCGGCGCCCCTGGCTACATTACACCTATCTAGCCTGATTTAGTCTGGTTATTTGCACAAGCCAAAATATGGATTTGTTTTTCCTGTTTCCTGTTTTTTCCTGTTTCTGTCTGTCCCGCTGACAGGTGGTTCATAGTTTACTGTATTTACAATGCTGCATTACCCTGAAAAATATCTGCATGTTTAACAAAAATATATTAGCATAGTTGAGCTGGTAGTGAAGTAGTGTGCTACACTACTGGTAGATTTCCCAGAGCCATGGGAATGGGCAAAAGAAAAGCCATTGTTTTTAAGTTTTTGAACAAAGAATCAACATGTTCTCCATCTCACCTGTCTCTCCCTATCAAGTCTCCAGTAAGGATGTACTGGTTTGTTCATCTAAACAGTTAATAGTATTTGTAAAGGAAGGTAAGATAGACGGTGAGTAGGTGTCACATACAATTAAGATGCATAAATAATGAGGATTACAATAATAATCAAAAACACAAGAATATGATCAAGTCTGTTTTGTATCACCAGTTGATATACACACTAATATTCAACCTGTCTGGAGTTAATAGGAGATTTCTCATTAACTGTTAAAGGGCAGAGACTTTGTATCCATCATGAACCAGCACTTTATTTTTTCTGGGGCTGATACCAGTGAATGAAACAGCTGTGTTTTGAAACCTTTTAATGGTTTTAATGTTTTCAGATCTTGTTTAAGCAACTATTAATTAATACTACTATTAATTATCTGTTGCTGCTGATGACTTGACCACTAGGAAACAGCTATTGTTGAGTACACGATCATGATATAATTCCCTGTTGTTTCGGTTGAACAACTCCTGCCTTGAGTATTTCCTTTTAGTCTGCAGAAAACTGCAGTGAGGTGTCAAAATCTCCTTCACTGTTCACATTTTATACACCTGCCTTCAAAAATGGCTTGAAGGAAAAACAATATTTTGAGCATAACCTTTTTCATGCTTTGGCAGGTTGTTCCTTCCACCTACTGTGGTTGAATAGTGGGAGGTTCAAGCAGATTGTTTCTGATGCTTTATCACCCTCAAGGGGGCTAAAGTGGCATTACATAAAACTAATGGACCCCAAATTTTCTGGAATTTAGTACAAATGCAGAATTTCATCTAAATTAATATACAAGTTTGTTTTTATTATTTATTAAGATGATAACTTTATTTAGCCTACTGCCAAATACTTTCCAAATCAAACATTTGCATAGATTTTTCTTGCCTTCCAGGCAGCCATTTTTATCCATTTATTTCACTACAGAGAGGAAGGAAATAGTAGAGACAGGTAATTAGTCATATCCACTTTTAGTTTTATTTTGTCAAAGTTAAATTATTTTTGAAATTGATTAAGATAAAAATTTTTGATTTTTATTAATCTGTCTGCCAAAGTTTGTTTCATTAGAGTGTAACCTCAAACTAAACTACTTCATGAATGTAATTTTAAGTCATATAAAGGACCTTGACAACTTAAGTAAAAGTAATACAACACTTGGTCACAATTCATGAAGGGTTTTTATCCCCAGAACTCTTCAAGAGTAAGCATTACTTTACATTATGTTCACAATCTCAAAAAATGGACCTGCAGACTGAACTGTCTGATGAAAATACAGCAGGTTTCAGATGTTTCAGCTTTTACATTTTTTTCAGTCCAGATGCACCAGTTGCTCCTGAAGAAGAGACACAGCAAAACACATTCTCCGTTTATGAAAGTTTATTTTTATTATTTTGCATTCTGCACAAACTGTACCTATAATATGAAAACAATATCTTACATTTCATTACATGAAATACATAAAAGCAACAGTTGGGTGCAACTGAAACACTGCATTAGTGTTTCCCTCATGTGTTTCAGTGTATTCCTGCACGCTGGATTTCCATTGCATATGATTTTAGACTAACCACCACATGTGGACACAAACAGCCTCATATTAAACCTGAGCGTAAGCACTTCAACCTCACACTCAGCGTTTCCTTTCAGATCCAATCTGCTGAAACACAGAGACAAATCAACACAAAATATGTCACTGTCCAAATATTTCAACGTGCTCTGCATGTGCATGTGCCAGTGTTCCTGCATGTGTGTGTGTGTGTGTGTGTGTGTGAGTGCTGCGTGAGGGATTAGCCTCAGTGTGTGTCCACCAGTGATTAGCCTGGTCAGTGGGCCTGTTGTGCATTCACTCAGGCCATTAGCATATTAATGCAGCCTCGCTCTTGATCTCCCTCCCACCCTCTCTCTCCTGTCTCCCTCACTCTTTCTCTTTCTCTATACATATTTCCCAGACTTAGTTGTCGCTTCCTGCAGCTTCAATCTATAAATCTCACCAATTTTCGCCACCTCTCTCTCTCTCTGTCAGATCTTTGCCTTCTTTTTCATCCTGCTCACCGTCTCTCTCCCTCCCTCTCTCTCTCCCTCTCTCTCTCTCTCTCTCTCTCTCACTCCACTGCATTCAAATCCTTTACTTTCTCTCATTTTCCCTTTTCTGTCTCCAAGTCTGGCCCCCTGAACTTTGTCAAACACAGGAAAACACACACAGAGGCAAATTCACAGGGGAAAACACAGAGAGGGTGAGTACACACACACACACACACACACACACACACACACACACCTCCCTCCTCTCATTCATTCTCCTTTTCTGTCACTCTCACCCCTTCCATTGCAAATTTAGCAAGACCCTCTCTAGACACCGGAGCTGAAGTGCGAACCGGACACATTCAACTGTACTTAACATGGTGAGAGCTATTCAGCCCTTTCTGCTCCACAGACAGACTCCAACCAACCTTTCCAAAATGGGACACCCCTGATCTGCAGAGCCAGGCCTGGATGAGCGTGAGGGTTTGCACCTGAGCAGAAAAAACATACAAAAAAAAAAGTATATAAATTAGTGGTTCCTCTCTCTTCCTGAAAGTTAACATGGATATGTGTGCGCACGGAGTCTGTGTCAACCCCTCAGCCTGTTCAAATCTGTCGAAACTCACATTTTCACATGAGCGTGAAAGATAAGGTTCACAATATCTGTTCGCTTTTTGGAATATTTTTCGTGATTTGCCATGAAATGCGTGTTGGGTTGCGTTTCAGGATTTTGACATAGACTAATTTGCGTTGAGTGAATTGCCAAATAAATTAACTGACTTCCTCCTCACTTCCCATTTGGCTGCTGTCCACCTGCTGTCTCTGTTTGGTGCCATTACTTTTCAAACCAGTGATGGTATTAATTATTCACCAGGCTGTCTTGTAAACCATGACTGGCCTGTAAATGAAGGATTATTTTCAAAATTGACCTGAAGAGCAGAAATGACTTGTCACTTTACATCATGCTGTTCTGTTACAAGTGAAAGCTTTGAGCAGCGAGCTCTTACAGGCCCAACTTGAAACTACACACATCCTGTTTGAAAAAAAAAAAAAAAAAAAAAAAAAAAAGTTGAGCTGACGTCCAAAAATGTCAAGCGGGGTTCTTACAGGGTTTACATTTACATAAACACACACTCTCCCCTATTCAATATCTCCCTCTCTGTTTGTCTTTCAGTGTTTCTTGCTCATTCACCCACAAAGCCACAGAGTTTCATCCCATCCGTGGCGGTCTGTCCCTCGCTGATTTTCAGAGGTCAGGGGCGTGATGTCCATCCACAACTCCTGGTTTCACAAAGGCAGACGCAAGAATTGCGTTTGGACAATCAGCTCCGGACCTCCATCTTTCTCTGGGTCACAGGTGTGTTCAATTCAGCTTCACTTCACAAAAAAATCAGAGAGTGAGCGGTGAGTCTCCATCCAAATATCGCTTCCTCCACTTGCTGAAGCTGGGTTTCATCGTGGCCCAGCTTGCCTCAGGTTTGGCGCGTATGGGTGGTACAAGAAGGAAAGGATGGTCAGGATAGAGCAGGGTAATGAGCGGGAAGGCAGAGAGAAAGAAAGAAGAGAGGGAGAGCGAGAGAAAGCTCTAACTCATGCCTGTCCTCTGTGTGGGTGACACCATGATGAACGAAGGGGTCACCACCCGGGGGCAGGCCTGTCCAAAAGGAGCCAGCGATGTGACCCCCTACAAAAGAAGAAGTGGGTCCCCCAACGGTCACACGGATCAAAGAAGACAAAAGCCTGAGATGATAACTCAGCGCAGCAGTGGAGCGCATT